GAGTGTGTTTGCTGGTTGCCACGGCGGGCAAGGCGGTTGGTTGGGTCGCTACAACCCTCCGCCCCATCCGTCCGTGGGGCCCCCCGCCGTGGCGGCGCCCATCACGGTGCCCACAGGTCGGAGATGTGGGACCCCTGAAAACTCTGGGTAAAACCAGGGGCGTGTAGGGGGCTGGAGGCCCGTGCACCGGATGCCTATCCCGGTGCCAGAGCCATATGCCGACTCCCCGGAGGAACCCGGGGGTAACTGGGCATGCCCGGTCGGCGAAGCCGTGATGGGTTGAGGGTTTGAAACCAAGAATGAGTTGCAATAAATTTTTTGATGCAGAGGGGAACTGCGAGGAATCGCAACAGGCTTGCACTACGATGCAAGTAGGAGGCGCCTTACATCGGCGCACGGATGGATCGGAGGCTGCCCCCTCTCCTCATTGTTTGAGGATGAGCGGCGAAGCCAACGATAGTGGGGAAGGGATGGACGAGGGAGGGATCTTCTCCTCTCCGGACACAAAGAACACTCTGGTCATGTCCGGTGATGAGAGAGGAACGGATGACGAGATGTCCGACGCTAAGTCGAACAACTCGATCATCGTCTCGATCGTCTCGGACTCCGATAATGGGAGGACTGATCCCCCTCCCCCCCTTCTCAAGGGGAGAGGGCTTTGGGGAGGATGTTTGCGACTTCAAGTCGACAGACTTCCTCCTCGGAGGACGAGAGAACGGACGACTCAGGCCCCTCTCCCCCGCGTAAGAGGAAGCGGGGGCGTCCGGCTAATACCAAAGAACAGGAGGGGCAACACACCAAACAAAGACGTAGGGAAAAGGCCCAGCTCTTCAAAAAGGAGAAGAATGTGGACTTGGCCCTCTCGATAGCAGGTGGAACCGAGATCCTCGATAAAACGACAAGACGGTTTCGCCTGCACGAGAAGGCAATGAAAGAACGCGCGGAGGAGTTTGTGGTCGCATCTGTCCAGGATGTACTTAACACCCTTGAAGGACAGGTGCAGAGCATAATGAGCGTGGCCAGCAAGAGCGGTGGCATTCAGGGTCCCCTTTAAAAGATCCTGTATGTAGCTGCCTCCACGATAGGAGCGGGGGCCAGGGAGCTGGCGTCCCGTACCCAGAAGGGATATAACGACCCTCTGGCAGGGAGAGCCCCTCTACTATCAACCCGGAGGTGGGGAGCTATTAGAGGCTAATCGCCGCCAGGAGGAAAAATTCAAAACCTCCGCAGGGAAATCGAGGAGAGGAACAGAACCTCTCCCCCTCCCACCCCTCCTGCCACAAGGGCTAGAGTCAAGGAGATGGAGGAGAAGATGGAGGAAGATGAGAATGAGGGGGGATTAGAGGGGATTTTACCCTCTCCGACACCCTCTTCCGCAATCCCCCACTTCTCCATAGAGGAATTGGCGGAATTCCCCGCCGTTAGGGCCCCGATACAGGGGAAAACTAAGATACTGGAGGATCGCCCAGTAATGCCGGCAAAGCCGGTAATTACAAGCAACGAGCGTATTCCTGGGAACGGGAGTTTCTTGGACAATATTGCCAATATGTCCAAGAATATTGAGGATAGGATCACGGAGTCCCTCTTCAAGAAATTCCAAAAATTCGAGGAAATGTTGGAGAGGAGACTCCCCTCCTCGCCTAACCCTCCCTCTTCCAAATCCCCTAGTGGTTCGGGCCCACCCCCCGTTGAGGCGGTGGCTCCCCCCACTGGGGACTCAAAGAAGGGGGGAGGAAAGAAGGGGAAGAAGAAGGCGCCGAAGCAGCGGTCCGTCGCTTTGCGACAGCCCACTGTCGGCCCTCCCCTTCCCCCTAAGGAGAAGAAGAAGGACCCGAGCAAGAAGCCGGGTCCCCCAACTCCTCCTGGAGGGGTTGAAAACACCACCGCTGCTGCCTCCATCTCCGTTGCTCCCCGACAGGAGGAGCAGCAGCAGCTGTGATCCAAGGTGGTTGGATCCAAAAAGGGGAAGAAAAAGCCCCCCCCCCTCCAAGGAAGAAGGGAGCAAACCAGCTCCCAAATCTCCCCCCACTCCCCCCTTTCAAGGGGCGGGGAAAAAGGGGGGAAAGAAGAAGAGGAGGGCCCCCCGCACAGCAGCAATTATGCTTACCTGTCCGGGAGGCGAGTACGCTGCCACTATGAGGCAGATACAAGAAAAGATCCACCTCAACGAACTGGGGATCACCGGGCCATTGAAGTCCGACACGGCCCAGACGGGGGCCATACTCATAGAGCTTTCGGGCCCGGACAAGAAGGAAAAAGCGGACAGGTTGGCCAATAAAATGGCTGACCTGTTTGCTGACAGGCCAGAGATCCGGATCGCACGCCCCCAGAAAATGGGGGAGATCCGGATCAGCGGGAAGGACCCTTCCACCACATCTGACGATATTGCTCGGGCTGTGGTGCAACAGGGAGGATGCTCCCTCACCGACATCAAGGTGGGGGACATCCGAGAAATGGGCAGGGGCCAAAGGACTGCTTGGGTCCAATGCCCCCTGGAGGCGGCCACTAAGGTGGCACAAACGGGCCACCTGAAAATAAGGTGGTTCACGCATAAGGTGGAACTGCTCAGCGTGCGTCCCCTTCAGTGCTACAAATGCCTGGAGAAGGGGCACGTACAGGCCAAGTGTCCCTCGGGCAGCGTGGACCGCAGCAACTGTTGCTACCGCTGCGGTACCGAGGGGCACGAGGCACGGACGTGCACAGCACCGGTGCACTGCACCCTGTGCCACGCTGTTGGTCGCCCGGCCTCCCACCGAATGATGGGCCAGGCGTGCAAGGCCCCGAAGAACGGGGGCAAAAGGACGAAGGGGGGGGGGCTGCCCAAGCACCCCCAAAAAGGGGAGAAAAAGAAGGAGCAGGCAGCGGCGATTTTGCCTGCCCTGGAGGGGCCCTGTCCCCCCCAGGCAATGGAATGCGAGCCAACACCCTCGCAGTGTCCCGCACTTGAGGACACGATGGAGATCAGCCTGCAGGAGTGAAGGGTTTCGCGGACCCAAAAATGTCTACGAGACTCCTGCAGGCGAATCTGAATCACGCCCGTCAGGCCCAGGATCTTTTCCTTCAGGACCTGAACGGGTGTGACGCAGGGCTGGGTGTAGTGGCGGAGCCGTACAGCGTGCCCGATCAAACCCTACTGGGTCCCGCGCTGACGGCTCCGCTATC